TCCTCTGTTTTGGCCGACCGCCCCCCTCACTCCCTCTCTTGGGAAACTTCAGCAAGAAGAAGAGACGACGACATCTCTCTCCCCAATTCTCTTCAATGTTGAATGGCGGATCCCGAGCTTGAGTGGGGTCTAGTATTCAACGCCGACGGAAGCATCAACGTCCTACGGTCACCTTGCTTCGACGTAGGATTTGAAGACGAAACCACCGTGGAGGAGTACTTGGAGAGAGTCGTCCCGATCCTTGCAAGCATCTACGACCGACAACTTTCAAAGCACACTTGGAGCCTCGACGGTCATCTACGACTTCCATCCCAACCGGCTACTTTTCCTCCGACGAAGTTCTTCGGCGCCCTTTCTCTAGTGGTAACTTCCTTCATCGCTTGGATCTTCTATCTCCGCCAAAAGTCCACCAATCTTTGAGTGATACGGCCCCAAGGTGAAGTTCTCGTTGTTAAACGTTGGGTTTTGTTATTGTACTTTGCATATGAAATTCGCCTAGAACTTTGAATGATTCGTTTTGGTTAATCTCTCTTGCAACTCTTTGGCCTAAGCAAAGTTAACGTTTCTAAATCTTAACTATATCTTGCATGATCCCCATAAAATTATAAAAAGCAAACTTTAATAATTCTCTTTTTAATTTTGATCGTAACTCCTAGTAGTTTCACATCATTATGTATTAATACTTTTTTAAGCCAAAGAAGGTCAAATATGTGCCCAATACACCGATGCTTACATTCATTTTATACTCGGAAGCTTTAAATCAATGGAGGGCCAATCAAGTAAGACCCACTTGTTTCAACTGTGCCTATTTTTTCACAGTAGAAATTTATCACAAACTAACTGCACTCTATGTCGATATGAAAACTGCCAAAGCTGTTTTTCAAGAAATTTGCCATCAAAAAGTTGCAATGGGAAACAAATTTGAAACTTTTTATAAAAACAACTTTCTAATGATTATAACTCAAACCATTTATAAAAAAGAGAAGATCAACCAAAGTGATTAGTATTTTAAGTTTAACATGTTTTTCACCTATCAAATATGAACTAAATTCTACACTCTCATGTCTCTTAAAAATCTCCACATACCCCACATTAAACAGAACTTTTCTGGATACCGTCAAAGATCACACACAAAAAGCTTACTCAACCAAATGGAGTCTACATAGGAGTCACCAACTCCTTAATTTTAATTGATCAAGATAAAAGAAGCCAAGATCTATAAGAGCTATGAAAGCCACAAACTATATGCAACACTAAATCCAAATAAAAAAACAATTAAAATGCCACTTATTATACTGCTTATTAAGAGTATGTACTAAAGAAGATCAAAGTAAACCCTATTACACAAGCGGTCAAATCTGTTTTTAACATAAAAGCTTAAGTTTTATGTGAGGGTTAATTACTTTCACTTATCTGATATAAAACTGAACTCAATACGTAACTTAGCAAGTATAGTTATGAGTAAACTTGCTCAAGGAATGCAAATTGTGAGACAAATGCCCGTTTGATTGAGCAGATAGCCATGGTTATAATAACGACCTTTTACATAGTTTCTTAGTTTTTAAAGATTGGAAAACAAGACAAAACCCATTTGATTGAGTGCTTTACAATTATTGATTCTCAAAGGTTAGTTCAGGGGCTAAGCCAAAATTTTTTACTAGTGAGCGCTAAATTAATGATTTTTAAAATACTCTTAATCTTTTTTCGAAGATTTTTTTTCTCTCTATATTTAATAATTTATAGTGAAATAATATTTTGACCATTAAAAAAAATTTACTTTCAATAAATTATTAAATTCTACATTTTATATTCTATTAGTTGTATTATATACAAATTTATAATTAGCTTATTTCAATTTAAATATTTAGTTATTAGTTAAAAAAAAAGAATCCATAACCTACAAATAATTTTCTATATATATATATATTAGTAAAGCAAATTTTTGACCGAGACAAGAAATTATGGGATTATAGCCTTATGGCTTCTGTTATAATATAAGTTAAAAATAGTATAAGTTAAAGCAAGTAATGCTCTCTGGTGCAGAGGTAAACTGTTGGTTTTCTTAGCTAGATGTTGTGAGTTTGATCCCCACTTTCGATTTTAAAATATTATGAAATACTATTCTTAGATCTTTCCCTAATTATAGTCTTTTGTAGCTAGATGGGCCAGTGAGGGCCCGTGCCCCCAGGCCCCCATTGTAGCTCTGCTAGCGGGTTTGTTGATGGGAGTAAGTAATAATTCAAAAAGTGCGGGTAAAAATAGATGAAGGAGAGAAAAAATTGACTAGGCCTTATCTGTGTATCGCATGTTTGATAATAACTAGAGAGAGGGTCTCTCACCTTTTATGCTCTATAGAGAAGAGACCAAAAGCATGCAACAAGTCATAAGTTCTTGGGTAAGTATCAAATGGCTCACACCTGCAGGTAAAATAAAAAACCAAATAAATTGGAAAACTGGTTAAACAACAATCATGCAAATGCAATTTTCATGTAGCACTTAAGAATAAATTTTCTAACAGTAATGAAACAGAGAACGAGATAAATAGAGCTCTTCAAAAGGAGTTACTTCGAACCTCAAACCAAAAAACTATTTGTCCCTTTCAAGAAATTGGTCATACTAAATCAACTGCAAGGAACGAGTATTGCCAGAAATAAAGAAAATTGAAATATTGTCATAGTTCCATAACTTTCCAAAACGCTATATCGCACATGCATTCAGCAAAAAGAATAAAAATAAATAAATAAATAAACAAACAAATTCTAGGCATCCCCATAAAACTGGAGATAACAGCTCAACAAAGAACAACATCAAGAGACTTGAGGAACATAATAAAATGATGATCATAAATGTTATCATTGATAGTAAGACATTCTGTAACTTTGACAAATTCAAAACAGAAAGAAAATTTGTTTTTTCCCTTGTAAGTTAAATATAAAAAAGTTAATAACTCATACCAGTCATGGGCCACTCCTATAAGTCCACGATCATAGATGACAGGCAATGTGTTGGGTCCACTTATAGGGACAACATTCATCACCCAGCTATTCATCTTCTGATCAATTAATGCTGATGCAAACCTATTTAAAAAAGTAGACAGGAGCACAAGAATAGTTAACAGCACACTGAATGCTATAATAGAAAAATAATTTTTTATTCTGTAAACCACAGATAAAGTTTGTTGATATAACCTACCACTAAAGCTAGTTAAATACAGAATGGTATGTTATATGTAGAACAAATCATGAATAAAAGAAAACTTTCTTAAAGGCGCAGTTGAGATTTATGCCCTCCATACCAACTCAAAAAAGAACAAATCACACATGGAAAATTTAACCTGCTCAGTCCAAGTTCCTACGAGTAAGATGTAAAAAAGCAGAAAATCCCAACTATTAAAATGACAATTTAATCAGAAATGTCTTCCAAGAGAGAGTATCAAAATCCAAGCATTCAAACCAACGGTCTCTACATGATGTTACTCATGACAGCACATAGTTTATTTCAACTCACTCTGTACCGAGTGATATCCTATTCTGTACCGAGTGTTATCCTACTCTGTACCGAGTATTATTTACTGCTTTACCTCATAGCCTACTATGTACCGAGTGTTATCCTACTCTGTACCGAGTGTTATTTACTGCTTTACCTCATTCCGCTTATATATACTTGTAACCTGTTCAATTATAATGATACATACGCTTTATCCTTCTTTGTCTTTCTGCTTCGTTTTCCTTTCTTTCTCTCTTGGCTGTGAATCTCTCACATGGTATCAAGAGCCAGGAGATGGGAGATCAAGAATCAGCCTCTTCAATCCCTCCCGCCTCCACCACTACGCTCGCCGCCCCATCAGATGACTAACAATCCCGGCGTCCCTCAAATTCACATATCCAACATCAAGAATCTAATCGCTCACTCCCTCACCACCGATAACTACGCAATTCGGCGAATCCAAATCTTTCAGAACCTCTCCACCAATGGGTACGCAGATTACCTCACCGGCAAAGCAACTCCTCCAGCTGATCTGCATTTGCCGAATTATGCATGCTAGCGTCTAATCGACAGCAATCTAATATCCGCTCTATTCTCAACTTTCTCCCCCACGCTTCTTCCTTACGTCATTACGTCTACTACCACCCAAGAAGTCTGGGTGACGCTTGAACCCCGGCTACAATCCTCTAGTCGCTCTCGAGTAATCCAACTCAAGAACGAACTACACCATGTTCAAATGAACAATCTCACGATGCAGCAGTACCTATCTCAAATCAAGAACATCGTGGATAACATTGCCGCTGCGGGTACCAAGATCGATGAGGAAGACATCGTTCTGTACATCTTGAACGGACTACCGGCATCCTACAATTCCTTCAAGACAGCTATACGAACATCATCTTCATCGGCCGATCTCGACAATCTTTATTCTCTTCTTTGCAGCGAAGAGACCCACATAAATCAACAAATTCAAAAAGTTCAAGCCATCACGTCCTCTGCCTCAGCTCTCTACGCTACCTCTCACTACCAGAACAAGAATCGCAATCAACGTCGGCCCTTCAAAAACAAATCTGCCCTACAAAAACAGCCAAAGACCGCCGATTCCACTAACACAACGAACAACACTAGACCAACTTGCCAAATCTGCGGCAAGAACGACCACATCACAATAAATTGTTGGCACAGATGTAATTCCAAGTATGCACCAACAACCTCAAACGGATCCCGCGCTTTTCTTGCTCAGCAAAATCCAACTGCACCGCAAAGTTGGATTCTTGATTCCGGTGCCACCAACCATTTCACGACTGATAATTCGAACACACAGCAATCCACAACTTATCCCGAATCTGATTCAATCACGGTTGCCAACGGATCAACATTACCTATCCAAAACTATGGTCAAGGTTTGCTACCGTTACCAGATACCCCTTGTAAGCTTCGTCTTTGTCATCTTTACATGTACCGTCATTTACACATAATCTTCTATCTGTGTCAAAACTCACTCAAGACAATTTGATATCAATTACCTTTGATTCTAACAGCTTTGAAATTAAGGATATACAGGACAATCGTCCTCTGCTTAGTGGACATTACGGTTTGTACCAGCTCAACGTGTTGTCTGACAACCCCCCGAAAGCACTTCACGTCAACACTACCTCCTCTTCTACCTGACACGCAAGACTTGGACATCCAAACAATCGGATTCTTCATCACTTAGCAAGCAATTTTTCAGAATTCAAGAATGTTTCCTTTTCTTTTCACTGCAAATCTTGTAATATGGCTAAAATCCACATACAATCGTTAAAGAAACGATCCTCGGTCACCACCCATCCTTTTGAACTCATTCATTCGGATGTGTGGGGACCGGCTCCTACATCTTCTTTAGCTGGATTTCGGTACTTTGTTGTTTTTATTGATGATTTTACAAGGTTCTCATGGATCTATTTCATGCACTCCAAACATGAAACCTTCACAAAATTCAAATTATTTTGTAGTCTAATCCAAAATCAATTCAATATTATGCCGAAAATTTTTAGATCTAACGGCAGTGGGGAATTTGTCAGCTCCGAATTTAACCTCTTCCTTCAAACTCGCGGCATAATTCACCAATTCAGTTGCCCGCAAACCCCGGAGCAGAATGAGCTTGCCGAGCGCAAGCATCGGCACCTGTTGGATCTCACCCGAACTCTCTTGCACGAGGCTCTCCTTCCGAATCAGTTCTGGGCCGACGCTATTGACACCGCAAATTACTTAATACACTGTTTACCCTCCAAACCGCTGGCACTAAAATCCCCTTATCAAATTCTCTACAACAAACCCCCTGCCGTCTCCCATCTACGCACCTTTGGGTGCTTGTGCTACTCTTGGCTCCAACCATACGCGGCATCAAAACTCTCACCCAGATCACAACAATGCATGTTCATTGGTTATTCACCACATCATAAAGGATACAAATGTTATAATTTGGAAACCCAAAAACTCCACATTCGAGACACGTGGTGTTCTAGGAATGCATATTTCCCTACGCAAGCCACCACTATTCGACTACACCTCATCCAACAGAAAATCAGCCACTTCATAACCCCTTACTGCTCGTTCCCGCTTCCACAATTTCTACTTCACGGCAATCCAACAGCCCGCCAAACGTGCCTCCAACCAACGATACCAGCATTCAACAGCCAAAGACGATTTTGCTCAACTTAGGAGACAATCTGATCTACCAACCCAATACCGAATCGATCAGCATCCAACAGTCTCAACATCCGATGCAAACACGATCAAAATCAGGTATACACAAACCAAAGCAACTGTTTTCCTTATCCAGTCAGGTCAATACACCGCCTACTCCCATCAACTTCAAGCAAGCATCAAAGGATGATCACTGGAAAGCTGCTATGACTTCTGAATTTAACGCTCTTCAAAGTCAAAACACTTGGTCACTCGTACCAATCCCAAACAACAAACGGATACTTGGCTGCAAATGGACATACAAAATCAAAATGCTACCAACAGGAAAAATCGATCGCTACAAAGCTCGGTTAGTTGCCCAGGGATATGATCAAAAGTTCGGCGAAAACTACACCGAGACATTCAGTCTGGTTGCCAAGATGACCACGATTCGTATGCTTCTCATCCTTGCAGTCAACCGAAAATGGCCCACGCTACAGTTGGATGTTTCTAATGCTTTCCTTCATGGGGATCTACCGGATGACATCTACATGCGTCAACCACCAGGGTACGAAGAAACACAAAAATCAAACCATGTATGAAAATTAAACAAATCAATCTATGGTTTGAAACAAGCGCCTCGTCAATGGTTCCAAAAATTTACGAACTTTCTTCTCACACGCGGATTCAGGTTTAGTCATTCTGACCCTTCCTTACTTATTTTCTCCAAGAACCAAGTTCATATATTTCTATTAATATATGTTGACGACATCCTTGTAACAGGAAACGACACATACAGCATCAGATCACTCCTTCACGATCTCAATTCTCACTTTGCTTTAAAACAACTAGGAGAGATCTCCCTATTCCTAGGTATACAGGTTCAACAAACCTCCAACGGTTATTTTCTCAACCGGTTATTTTCTCAACCAAGAACACTATGCCACCAAACTCATTCAAGAAGCTGGATTCGCTCATTGCAAAGCTCTGCCGACACCAATGGCCCCAGCCTCCTCACATCAATCAGACAACACACAGCCATACCATGACCCTTCTCTCTACCGTCGTCTAGCGGGCTCACTACAATACTTATCTATTACCAGACCAGACATCGCCTTCGCCACTAATCGGGCATGTCAACACATGCAACAGCCGACAGTTCAAGATTTTAAAAACCTCAAACGCATATTACGGTACATCAAAGGAACTCTGTCTCACGGCCTTCCCATAACACCAGGCGACTTCCAGCTTCGCACCAACACAGACGCTGACTGGGCATCTGACACTTCCGATCGGAAATCCATCACAGGTCACTGCACATTCATGGGTCCAAATCTCATATCTTGGTCTGTTAAGAAGCAAGTAACTGTCGCCAAATCCTCTACGGAAGCCGAATACAGGGCATTATCCGCAGCTACTTCAGAAGTTCTCTGGCTCCGTCGTCTCTCTGCAGAACTAAATCTTCCACAAAGCTCTGCCACAAACATATATTGCGACAACATATCGGCGATAGCCATAGCCAAGAACCCCGTGTTCCACTCCAGGACCAAACACATAGAAATCGATTACCAGTTCATTCGTCAACATATTTTCACCGGAAATATTCATATTCAACACATTCCCTCGCAAGATCAGATCGTCGATATCTTCACTAAACCGTTCTCCATCACTCGGTTCACTCACTTACGCTCCAAATTAACAATTCGAAAACCGAATGGTCAATTTGAGGGAGGATGACTGTGGGCTCCGAAAATTCGGCCCCGGCCTCCGCTCGCTCTTCTTATTCGGCGAGTGAGTTTTAACGAGCTAAGTTCCGAGGTAAATTTTGGAAGGCAGATGGGTTTGTAGATAAGACACTACCCAGAGATTTCGCCCTCATTTTGTGAGGACTTTATGATCTGAGTTCTGGTTTCCTATAGGCGCA